TCGTTAAACTACAATAAAGCCTCATGCAGTTTGCATCAAGCTTTCGCCTCCATTCTGTGTTTGGGGTGGCCGCCGTCCTGGGCTAAGATTCTGGAAGCCTCAGCTTTCTGAGGGTCTTACAAAACCACGACAGCCATGAAGTTTGGCCTGAGTGGGGGACCGTGGACTTGGAAAATCCTAGCAACCCAATGGCAACAAAGACCAAATACAGGCATCTTGTCATCTTTAGAGAGCTCTCAGTTCCATGCTGAAGAACTGGAGTCTTTTCTTTATTCAGCATCTTCCCAGCTGTTTCCTAACGTGCTTCCCTGGCCCTGAGCCCATTTCTCTCTGCTCTTCCTAGACCCTATCATCAGATCTCTGTCCAGTAGACTGATAGCTCCTAACACTATCTGTTCTCACTTTTCATGTACACCTATCCCTCTGCCCTGGTGCAGGACTATTCAAATGCTTAGTTCTATAGAGATACAAACTAGGAGGCATTTGACACTGAGGCTATGCCATTCAATAGCAGATTAGCTCGAATCTGCAATACAATTGTAGGCTGTGTAGCCCAGGGAAGCCCAAAGCTTGAACACTTGTGCTTAAAGAGTTTTGGACCTGGAGATACTCCTTAATGGAATTTTCCTGGCTCCCTACACCTAAGTCTTTTAACAAAATGATGCCCTCCTTTGGGGTGGTTCTTGCTTGAGTGGGAAGACAGTGTTCTTTCACTTGGCTATGATTTCCAAATTTTCTTGTAGAATCCCAGATTTGAAGACAGCCAGGGAAATAGACAACCCAAATGAAGGCATTCCTGAACCTGTGTCCTGAAACAGGCAGAGAGCTCAAACTCCATTACCAAAACCCTCTATTGTTTTGTAATGAGTTTAGCCTTTGCACAGTGTTTCCTTACATGATGTAAATCCATTTTACCCAGTTCCTGGTGGCAAGCATGATCATGATGTGCTCTTGACCTTCAGAACACAGCCTAGAACCTGGGGATAACAAGAAATATCTCTCACATTTCAGAAACCGTAATTCTGCCTGGTATCAAGCCCTCCCCTCAGACTGGTGTATTCCAAATGAAACACCACTATTCTTTCTAGGGAGACCTCCCTTGGTTCCTTGACTGACCTATGGCTGTTGCTGGGTGAGTATGGGTAAAGACTCCTGGTTACCAGAAAGCACCTTAGCTAAATCATAGCACACACTACCTCCTAGTCACTAACATGGGCAGCAAAACCAACTCAAACCACTACAGAACCCAAAGACTCTCCTAGTAACTTAGGGATATAGCCTAGAGTCAGGAAAGGAAGGTGCCCACAAAAGTACCGAGACAACACCCTAAAATGGGCCACCAGACTCAGTGATCAACCTTGGTGGTCAGTCCCACAGCTAGCAGCATCTGCCAAAGGACTGGAGATGGCCTCCTGAATGACTTATTGAAAAGACTCTTTATAGAGGAGTAGACAGGATTGAGGGAACCAGACAGAGACCAACCAAGTAGCAGTGGGTCTTCCTTATGGCCTGAAGCATAGGGAGAAGGGAAATAATGAGTCTAAGAGCTAGGGCTAAGAATAGAGAGAGTCTGTGGCCCTTGGGAGAGAAGTACAGCCCAGGATGGTAGAAGAGTTCAAGAGTCTTGTATAAATATTTCAAACTCCTCCTAACCCCTGATTGTGGGTGCCTCCTATTGGCCAACTCAACCAGAAGGTCAAGTGCAAGTTGCCTGGGGAGGCAGTCTCAGGATAGAGAAGGGCAGAAGCTAGATCTAGAGAGGCTTATGGGAGTTATCCAGGTCTCCAGTAGGACACCCAGCAAGCATTTATCAGTCACCTATGAGGAGCTATAGCTGTAGCAGGGTTCGGGCAAGCCAGAAATCACTATACGTATCTTGACCCTGCTATCAAAGCAAGCTCTAAATAATCATTAAAACCATGTAAATGTTAATTCTTGCTTCAGACTTCTCCAAGCGATACCTGGTTGCCAGGCTGGGGTTCAGACATCCTACACCCCAGGTCGCTGCCACCACACATTGAAATTCACAAGCTGTGTCAAGGCTAGACTTTAATCCTGGGCTTCAGCATCGAAGTGTTTATTGACCAGGGTCTTTCCCAGAATTCTTCCTCACAAGACAGAGTGGAGAAAGACATGGGGGCAGGTGGGGGTACCTATAGGGAGTGTTGCTGAAATTGCTGGTCGGCAGATCAGAGACAAGATCATGCCAGTGAATCGCTGGGCCTTGGCCATGGTCACATTCAGGCCAGGCCCAGAAGTTGCTGAGCACCTATTCAAAGGAAGTGTTGGCCTGATGATGCTACAGCAGTCCACAGAAAGCCACACTGCAGTGGCCCTGGCTGTCCTAGTGCTGTCCACAATCCCTGAGTGATGCCTCTTCCCTTGTGGTACAGGGACAGCTACTCAATGTCCTGTCTGCCCTTCATCCTGGCTTCTGCTGTACCTTGAGACAGACAATCCCAGGGCCTTAGTCAGCCTTCCTTCCTCCTCTTTCTGTCCTCAGCATGAGAGCAGCTCCTAGCTCTGCTCTCTCTCCCGTGGACACCAGAGACTGGAATCAAGGGCCTTGAATGAGTGGTGGAGGTCTATAGTAACCACAGGCTCAGTGCCCAGACTGGCTGCCTACCCACAGCAGAACCCGGGTAAAGAGAAGAGCATCTGAAGGCCCCTAAAGCTAGGAAATGCCAAATTAGGCTACATTTCCACCTTGCCACTTGCCCTAGCAGCAGAGCTTGGTCCTGTTAGCTCTTCAAGGTTCTGCCCATGCTTCCACCATTGTGCCAAGTCAGAGCGTGGCCCCCATGCTGCCAGGATACTATAGAGGTCACCCAATGGAGGTAGGCAGGCTTCCGTTACCCAAAACCTTCCTGGGGTTTGCCTGTTTACAAGGTTTAGCTGAGGTTCAAGGCTGACATTATGCTGCCAGGATACTATAAAGGCCACCCAATGGAGGTAGGCAGGCTTCCGTTACCCAAAACCTCCCTGGGGTTTGCCTGTTTACAAGGTTTAGCTGAGGTTCAAGGCTGACATTTCAAAAATGCTCTGGGATTGCATTTCATTTGTATCAGTAGGTTTAACTTTTGTAATTTTTTTGAAAGTTTTTGTGACTTCATTTTTTATTATCTTACTATCCATATACTCATGTGTTTAGATTCAAACTGATACCATATTCCCTCCTATTTCATTTTATTTTTTCCATTCCCCCCAGGTTTTTCCCCCAATTTCATGTTCCCTCCCCCCTCACTTTTGTCTTCCTTAATACCCACTAGGTCTGTTTAGTGTGACCTGTATGAACATTTGCCAGACATGCACTCAGAACGTCTGGGAGTGTGTTACGATAAATCTTTCCGCCAAAAGCCGCCCGAGCCCTACTGCCATGTGGGCGGTCTCCGCCAGCTGCCTGAGTTCTGCCCGCTGAGTTAGGGCCCAATTAATACACAGAGACTTATATTAAGCACAAATGCTGCTTGGCCAATGACTAGGATTCTCATCTGTTAGCTCAGTCTTAATTATCATAAATCTATATATTTATAAGACTTACCTTATCAGACGCCTTCCACTGGCGCCCTCCCTTGCTGTGGATCACATGGTGCCGCTGGAGGAAGAGGGGGCCCACTTCCTTCTTCCCATGTTTATGTAAGAGTCTCCCTGCTACATCACTTCCTGACTGGATCATCACTTCTTTACTACATTTCCCAGAATCCTCTTTGACTCCTAGTCTCTTCTAACTTGCTGCCTCATTGGCCAAACAGAACTTTATTCATCAATCAATAAGATGAACATACACAGAAATACATTCCCCATCAGAAGTGTGTGCACAAAATCAAACCAGACAAAACTCCCATCAAGGAAGGAGGAGGGGCTGATGAAGTTCCACCTTTGTGTTGAGGAGATATTGCCAGCTGGCAGCTATTGGGAAAGGGAGAGTAACTTTTGTATTTTTTTAAGCATAACTTTGACACAAAGCATTTTTTGAGGGTTTCTCTGTTTAGCTTTGTAGACCAGGCTGGCCTCAAACTCAGAGATCTGCCTGCCTCTGCCTCCTGACTGCTGGGATTAAAGGCGTGCACCACCACTGCCTGACTCGACACAAAGCATTTTATCTATTTGGAAATGCCACTTCCATTAGGATGTGGCTTACTAATTCACATCTGAGGAGCTGCTCTTACTTGTGATCAAGTCTTTTGTCATTTACTGTGGAAATGGGCCAGAATAACACTACTCTAAATCCAACATCTTGTGTCAAATAAAGAGCACTGAAATCACAAGAGGTTTCTACTGAGACACACACACACACACACAGAGAGAGAGAGAGAGAGAGAGAGAGAGAGAGAGAGAGAGAGAGAGAGACAGAGACAATAGTCTACACAGAGAGAGTAAGATAGAGAGAAAAAGAGAGAGAGAGAGAGAGAGAGAGAGAGATTGGAACAGGTTGTGTGGTGTTGAGACAAGCACTTAAGTTTTAAATGTGGCTAACCTGGCCCCCTACTGTTCTGGGACAAAGCTCAACTCTTCTTCCCAGATCTATCACCCAGAGAACTGCTGGAAACACACTATGCTCAGCAAGGACCGCATCCATGGGAGCATTTGGGAATAC